ATCTACGTCATGGGATTATTGTACAATTAAAATGAGGCAACGTAGGTAAAGCAGAATGCCTGACATGCGATAGATGTTCAATAAACATTTAATTTCATTCCTTTTTGATTCTCTTGGATAACCTATGTGAGTTAACAGTAATATATTTTATATGAGTATAAAAATCATAAGAACTACCAAAATAACAAATCCATACATGATCAATGGCATTTTTTATAACAATCAGCATTGTGAATACTGATATATGTGTGTGTGTGTATGTGTGTGTATCCTTTCTTCTTACCCCAGACTTCCCATACTACTGTACATATATGAGAGCAACCTTCAGAGAACAGAGATTTTATCATTTTGAGGACTTGTTCAAAAGCTCTTCAACGATTGCGAATGTATCTTGGCAATATATTAATAAAAATTTTGGCTCAACAGTTTTAAAGAGGAAGAAAATACATATTCACAATGAGCATATATTTATCTCTATGACTATCTTACAGCCATTATTTAGTCAGACTGGTGAAAATTAGTCTAATGGAAACTTTATTTCTATGTTGACATTTTCTCACTGGTCACTTATCCCCTTTAAGTACAGTAGAAAGTCTTGGGGTAGGGTGGAGGGAGTCTTCCATGGTAGGAATCCAGTTCCTTTGCACAATGTTAGCCATTCATATTGAGTCAAGGATTTCACAAAGTTACACCAACTCTCTTTCCACACGGGTTGGTTTCTCTCCAAACATTTCTTGGCCTTTCTTACCTCCATGTTTTTCTCCCATGGCTGGAATTTTGCCCGAAATACCTTACCTTCCTATCTTTAGCTATCAAATCCTGGCCCATTTTCTAAACCCAACCCACGTCTAGTCTCCACAGAGCTGTCCCAGACTATCATCCCCTCTGTTTGAGTTCACTGCTTTGCCAATATCACACTTACTATTAGTACATTGCTACTTTCACAGTCATTCTGTGTTACTTATTTCATACTTCATGGTCTCCTAGACTGTATTATGAACTCAGAAGCCACACTATATTAGAACTGGCAATAACCTTTTGCATACAGTTGATAGATAGATATCTGTTGGCTGGATAGAATACATGAAACTTTTTAAGTCCTACCTGAACGTAACAGCACAATCTATCTTCTTTTAATATTATAACAGAAGATATTTCTGAAAATTCAAGACATACTAAACTATTGGTTTAAGATTTTTCCCTATAGAAGGTAATTCTTTTGCAAAGTATTCTCAATAGTAATAGAATTATAAAAAACTATCTCAGAATTTAAGTGCTTGCTACAACTAACTATAATAAATAGTATTTGTACTTTAGCCAATAAAACTTATTTAATAAATTATGAGTCCCTAGTTTGTATAAGAAATCAAAATAAGATATGCTGGAAAAAAGATGAATAAGAAGACTAGCCAAGTCCTTAATACTCAACACCTTAAGAGAAGAGACAGGCTTTCCAATATTTTACAAAGCAAAAGTTAAATAAGCAATACAATACAGCTAACCTGCTGGGTATTCTATGTGACTAATTTCAGTTGGTAGGGTTCAAAAACCATCTTTCAAAAATAAAACAAAGACATTTGAGCAAGGTCTTAAAAGACAATTGGGACTTTAAGACCAAGTTGGCAGAAGGGGTTTCTGGGCTATAATCATATATAGCAAAAGGTATGCGTGTGACGTAAACTCTTCCCATCTTTTTATATTATTATTCTTTGCAGTACTGGAGATTGAACCCAGGGCCTCATGCATGCTAGGCAAGTGCTCTACAGACCCTCAACAGTTACCACATTTAGCTTCTCTCAGGAGGTGATCTCATTTGTGACTTCCTTTCTTGTTATCACAATCTGAAAGATGTTTTGTCTTTCTTTCTCTTCTACCCAATAGGATCCCCATTCTTTCCACAGGTAAATTCTACAAATTATTCCTCCTCTCTTGTTGCTTGCCGCCTGTCCACTCTTGTTCTAGAGCTCAACTCTCTCTCCTTTCCTTTGTGGCCAAAATTTTTAAATAGTCTGTATTTATTATTGCTACACTAGTAGATTACTCAGTACCATAAGTTGAAATGTCTTTTAAGTGCTTCACAATGTGTTTTTTATTCAGTAAAATAAAGTGGAATAAGGACTTACTTTATGATTTCACCCTTTGTTTAAAAATATTTAACCAGGATTTTTTCTTAAAGCCTGCTATATTCAAGAAACAGAATGTACAGTCTCTGAAATAGGATTTCTCATGTCTAGAAAGTACACTATTATGCAACTAAGTATTTTCAGCCAAGGATCTTTTACTATAGTGATCAATGAGAACCCTGAACCTTAAATATGCTGTTCTCTCAAAGCATCTTTCCCTAACTTAGAGCTCGTTATAAGTCTTCAAATGAGAATACGTAGGATTTACAATTATTTTCCTCAACGACACAAATTAGGCATTTTTAAGGAAAGCATTTAATATTATCCAGGGTCCTCAAACCTGACTGATGCTCCAATTCATTGCAGTTTGATTTGCTAATAGGAATAATGGCTAAGATAAAAGGTTTTTCCTCTTGTATACAAATAGCTAGAACTCCCCATAACTTATTTTACTTACCTTTCTTGCCTTCAAAGTTAAATTTATCAGCACCTATTAACCACCCATATTGATTTCAAAAACTCAAAGAACCACATGTAATATAATGTAAGTATTTTCAAGGACAGTAAATGTTCTACGTGATTCTATGAGTTGCTGATATTTAGATGGCAATATTTGGATGGCAGCTCTTTTCAGATTTTTTTTTTGTAATGAACACTTCAGTTCATTCAACAAATCAATTATTGCCCTTTATCTTTTTCTTTGAACCCAGACTCCATGCACTGATCTATATCCTCAGCCCTTTTTTATTCTAAGACAGCCTCACTAAATTGCTAAACTGCCAAGGTGGGGCTCTAACTCGCAATCCTCCTGCCTCAGCCTTCCAGAGTTTGGGGATTACAGTTGTGCACCACCACAGCTGGTTTCTCTTTATTTTTTAGAAATCAATTATCCTTAAAAAAATAAATAAATTATCCTATACACACCCCTCCTTTTAAAAATAGCTCTTCTTAAAATTGACAAAGATCAGTATCATAAACTTCTATTCTCCCAAAGAACAGTTTATAGACCTACCAAATACACTAGACATTACAGAATATAGTACCTGTTAATAGGCTGATTTATATTTAACAGTATTGCTAACATTTCCACAAGGACAATAACACAAATGTCTTCACTGAAGATCAGAAAATTTCAGGCCTATCTCTAACATTTATAGGGGCTGGGATAAAACTACAAAGGAGGACATATTCTTCATGTCTAAGTATTTAGAAGTTACAAGTCAAGTTAAACTATGAAATAAAATATGGTCTTATAGTCTAATATTGACAAATACACCTTCAACTATCTGGAAGAACACGTTCTTGGATTCCTTAAAGTTCCACACCATATTGTGGTGGCAGGGAGGCCTCTTCCCATTAACCAATTCTGCCAAAATCTCCATGTCCATGGACACCCCACCCCAGTGATGGTGAAGCTTTTAGAGGTGAGTGCCCAAACTGCAACTCAAAATTCACTTATTTATCATAAAGTGCCAACACTGCAATTAAACCTGAATACTAAGATTTTAGTTTAGAAAAAACAGCTGACACATTAACATATTTTGTCTTAAAGAAAAACAACATGTGTGTCATAGGTTTGTCACCACTGTTCCACCTGCTCAAACTGCTCACCTTTAGTTACTCTGCAGGGCTAATGGTACATTCAGTGGTTTTATCCTCCTAACGACCAACCCAGGGCAAAGAACCATGCAGACCCTGGAAGCTCTGAGCTGTTTGGGGGCAGAAAATTCCATTCTTAGTTCAGAGGATAGAGCTGGGAAATGAAGGGTTAGGCTTCTTATCCTGTGGGCAAGTATGGCCAGAGGATGGCCTTATTTTATTTTCTTAATTTTTAAATTTTTGAGACTGGGTCTCACTATCTTGCCTAGGTTGGCCTAGAGGTCACAATCTTCCAGCCTCAGCCACCTGAGGATCTGGGATCACAAGTGTGTAGCACTATACCCAGTTTTTCAGAATATGGCCTTCTAGGGCACAGGTCCCAAAGCACAGCCTCTCTTGCCCAGGACCAAAAGCAACACTGGTTAATTCACCAAATGAAGAATTTACCAAATCACACATGTTGCTAGTTAATATACTAGTTGAAACTCAATATATGAGAAGATAAAGAAGGTAGATAAGGGCCAAGGATTTAGCTCAGATGTTCCACTGCCTCGCAAGCTCAAGGTCCAGAGCTCAATCCTCAGTACCAAAAAAAAAAAAAAAAAAAGAAGGTAGATAAAATTTGAAATTCCAATCTCTAATCACTTCATTTCCCGCAAAGTCTATAATCAAAAGGTCTAATATTCATCTGGATCGACCAAATAGCCCACCCTATCTATCCTAAAGACTAAAATCTAGGTCCTGTGCTTTCTTTACAAATTCATGTGAAGTTACAAAATTCTATCCACATGCTAGAGGGAGTTGACAAGACAACAAGAAGCAGAAGGAAAACAATATCAAAGGCAAGATCAGACATGCAGATGGAATAGAGAACATTTCCCTTGTGTTCCTCACTTGCATACGGAAACTTACACTAGGATTAATCATCTGATCAAAGTTCAGTGTCACAGCAGAGCAAGTTCAGGATCTCAGCTGGTTCTCACTACTGCAGATTCATGCAATTCTCCTCACTTGCCTCTGAGTGCCCCTAGCCTGGGAGCTGTGTATGTGGGAGGTCATGCTGAGCCTTGTCAGCATGTCAGCAGCCTGCCAACAGCTCTCCTTATGCAAAATCTCTTCTCTCACCATAATGTGCTCCACTACCATTTCAACTGTACTTAACAAGAAAATAATTCTGTTAATTTGAAAACACTAATAAGTAAATCTTGTCACAATTCATACACATACTTCAGAAGAAGAGAAGTATTTCAATTGGAAATCTTAGTTAAGTGTACTTACTGAGATTGTACCATTGTCTAGACCTATGGACAGTCTTCTTGTTTCCGGGTTAAAAGACATGCATGAACATGGAGCTGAAAGAAATGAACATGTTGATGAAATTAACAAAACGACGATTCTCATCAATTCAGGAGTGCTTAACTAGCTAAAAGTGTGTGGCTACTTTTTCCCCCACTATTTTCTGAAATACTTCATTTAATTCCCACTCACCAAAAAATAAAAAGTCATTTTACAACCAATCTCTAGTTTTTTAAATTATCCTTCTAATGAATACAAGAAACAAGACATTCTCAAACTGAGCAAGTTCCAAGGGGCTTGCTTGGTCTCACTTGTGCTTTCAGTATTGGGTCTAAATTTGTTTGACCTGACTAACAATACGTTGTGCTGTGTAAGCCTTTTGCCACCACATTCTCTCTCTCTTTCCACTCAGACCCCATCTTCAATAGAAATAACCTGCCATTCTGAACTAAGGAGACAAAAACAAAGGTCTTATCTTTCGCCCTCACTGGCTCCCCCAACACACACACATACACACACACGTACTGGTGAAGAAATCTGTATTTGATTCAGAAGTGATAAGGGATAAGTGAAATAACAGGAGTCTTCTATTCCTAGCATTCAGGAGGTATGCCTGAGGCTGCTGATGAAAAATGATTGCAAATTTGTCACAAGCTGAGACTCAATTCAAGGTAGGGCTAGGCATTGCAGCAAAGAGACCAGGTGAGTCTGTCTGTGTGCTAGTTCTGGGTTGGGACTCCCAGTTCCACAAAACGACTGCCTATGTAAATTGGGTTCTATGCTAGAAAGTTACCTGTGATTAACGAGCACTTACAAAACAGTCTGCTTCCAGATGCCTGTTTTCTCTATGCTTGCTTCTTGGAATGGGGGCTCATATTGAAAAACTGGTCTAAAAAGCCCAATACAGTTTTTTAAATAAATGTCTCTTTCCACCATACTCACAGTAGCCCTATAAATCATGGGCTTATTCATCATGATAATCATAATCAGCATCAAAATAGTTATTTCTACTTTTTAGGTTATGATTAGATGTCTAACCTAAGGTCACACAGGGGAAAAAAAGTTGGAGAAGGTTCAAAGACAATTCAAACACACAGTCTCATATTCACATATCCAACTCTGATTACTTTTATAAAAGAACTTCAAGCTGAATTGGTACAGTCCCTTCATAAACATATCACTTGAAACATTTTTTTGTTCTCTATAAAAGGGCCCTGAACAAATCAACAACAAAGATTTTCCTAACTGAATAGTTTACTTCTAATTTCACAATGACATATTTTCAAAATAAAAACATATAAAAAAGTATCCTCCCCCAAACTTTCATCAGTACAGCAGAATATCTTTTTTCTGTTTAGCCAGAAAATAAAACTATATTCCTAGAAGTACACTGATGAAAAAAGCAATCAAATAATATCTAATAAGCTGTCATAAGAAATTCAGTCTTACTTTCCCTTGGCTTTATAAACTATTTGGCAAAATTTCTATAAATTCTAAGATGCCAGCTCTCATAATCCCATATGTCTACAGAATTAAAATCTAATTATTACATGAAAACTATCATGTTAGCTGAAAAAAATCAGGAAAAAATACACTGTGAATACAGCTATATAAAATATATTCTCCCATAGAAATATTCACAGAAAACTATGCACAGTGCTTATGTCTGAGTGAAAAGATTATTCCTTTTAATATTATTTTGCTGTTCCTGTTAATTTTAAATATCCAATAATACCTTAATATTTAAGCATGAGCATATGAACAAGTTAATTACAGCCCAAGGACCTACATATCAACCAAAAATGATCTTATTATTTATCTGCTCACCTCACCATCTAAAAGTATTTTCTTTGTGAATTCATCTAGAGTTCATGTACAGCTATGCTATAGTTGGAAAACCCACTGATCTTAGAACACGATTTAGAAGACTTTTTTTTACAACCCTAAATAAGCTGCCCTTATGTCTACATCATTACTTCTTTATTGCTGTTCTTCCCTCATTTATTGTATTTCTTACTACTCAACAAAAATGTAGGATGCTTACTATGTTCTAGGCATGTGATACAAAGGTATGCAAGGTATTATCATTGTCATCAAGAAGTTTATAGATGTGACATCAACTACATACAGGAATTGTACAACTCAAGTTCACCTCTTTGGTTCAAATCACTTTATGTATATTAAGAAAATGTTCCAGAATTCAAAAGCTAAAGACTTTTCCTTTCCAAAAGAACCTAAAAGAAATTTTAATGAAACTTGTTCTATAACCCGTATTCCTGAACCCAAGATGCCTCAGACAAGGGTGTACCAGAGATAGACAGCATAAACCCTCAGGTGCCGCCAAAGGTATAGCTATCCTGGAGACATATCATGGGAAAACAGAAAACAGTAATCAATCAATCTCAGCTTCCCTCCCGTTTTTGATGGGTAAACCCTATGATCCTCCTCAAACCACTGCCTACCTGTGACATTCCCCCATAGGCCCTGACAGGGCCAAGAATGCATGAGTATATTCAAAAGAATTTAGATGCCCAGATTTGTTGCTATAGTAGATCTTTTCTTTGGAGGTTAGAGATAGATCTTTCTAACTTCAACTTTCCAAAAATTAACAAAAAAGCCACTTCTAAAAGACTAGCTCTGGCTAGGGATTTTGCTCAGTGATTCTGCCACCTGCCTCGCAAGCACAAGGTCTTGAGTTCGATCCCTGGTACCAAACAAAAAAAAAGACTGGCTCTATGGTCCAGACATAACAGGCTCCTAGCCATGCAGCAGCAATATCAAAGGAATGAAACTATCTAGGGAACTACAGTGAGTCTCCGGTAGAGATAATAATTGTAGAATGAGAAAAGGAACCTTGGGCAGTGGGGAGAGGAGGGATACACATACAGCAATATGATTTAGGCATAACACTGTTATTAGATTGCAAAAATGGGATGCTTCACCAAAAAATATCTGCTTTAAGTGCTATAAAACTATTAATTCATAAAGCATCAAAGAAATATTTGGTCTCTCGTGTGGCTACATGTACAGGTTAGTCATAAACTGGTGGGTAGCTATTCTGTCCCCCTACCTTAACATTGCTTTCTTCAAAGTGAAGTAACTGACTAAAACTATACAACTACAGTACAATGGCCCTCTACTGACTTCCTGGAGCCAAACTGCAATCCTGAGCTCCAGTTAAAGCTAGACACAGACAGACAGACAGACACACACACACACACACACACATTTTTAACTGTGTCCTAGTGAGACAGAATAACCACACAAGTAAGCTTTGTGGCATGACCCATTTGCCAAGTTTCCCAAGTATGTATCATGCCATATGGAGATGGCCTGAGACTGTTCAGGCCTATACTAACCAAATAACTGAAATTCAAGGCCTGGCCAGTAATACTGTTGATGTTGTATTTCAATTTCTTATTATTGTTTTTGTATTTGAGGGGGATGACCACAGTTTCTAAATTTGCCATCTAGTTTTCTTGTCTTGGTCAGATGAAAGTCAAAGAAGTGTACTGACAAAATGTTAGGGAGCAAGATAAGGAAAGGTACAACTAAATAAAAAAAAATGCCTGCAGGTATTTGGGGAACAGGACCTCTTGTTCTCTAACATTAATATCAGGACTTTTGACTTTTATGTGCTACCATAGTCTTATCTTTAAACATTTTCATAACATTTGAGTGTTTTTAAAAATGAAGTCTTTGTAATTTAAGGCAGATATTCAGCTTTAAGTTCGGGGAAAACTAAAACAAAAAGCCCCAATTGGGGTGATTCTATTAATAAACATATAATTGAAAGAGAAAAAGCTGAAGCGATCTGAGTCCCAGACAAAGGAGACTCAAGATAGTAAGAGCAAACTCAACAAGATAACTAAATAGATTAGATAAAAAGTGGCTACCTACAGTTCTAATTTGGTTATACTACAATTGGTAAATAAATAAAAAAAGACCATGGCCTTTGCTTTAAAAAAAAATATGGGGCCGGGGATTTACCTCAGTGGTGCCACCACCTGCCCTGTAAGCACAAGGACCCAAGTTGGATCCCTGGTACCAAAAAAATAAAAATAAAATAAAAAATATATGGTTGTGGGCTGGGGATTTAGCTCAGTGGTTCTGCTGCCTGCCTGGCAAGTGCAAGGTCCTGACTTTGATCCCCGGTACCAAAAAAAAAAAAGAAAATGGTTGAGAGGGAGCATTCTCAAAAAATTTCTGCTTGAGAGAAGATTTTCTAATTTCTACTATTTTCACCTATAATTCTTTCATTTATGGCTAATTTATTTTCTGTCCTTTGCTGACCAGCTGAACTTTGCTCAAATAAACACACGTTTCACTGAAGATTAAGCTCTGGATTTCAATCACATTGACTGCTCTAAAATGCTAAGGGCATAATTTAGCAGGAGACACTAATCTTCCTTGAAAAATGCTCTGGCTGAAAGTTAAAAAGTAAATAAACAATGGTACAGCTGTTAAAGGTATCTTGGTAAAGTTAAATGTCAGGATCCCATCATAAGGAGCCAGATTTGATTCACAGACACTATTTCATTCATACTGATTTGTCTTAGGATAATATTTATTAGATTTGCAGTGCTCAATCCATGTTTTATTTCAGTAAGCAAACCTATAATTAAGGACTTCTATTGCCTAACATTGAGAAACATTTTTTATTTAAATAAAATATTTTAAACATTACTAAACATTGCAAACATTACTAAAATGTTTCATTCTGTTTTCTTTGAGTCTAGTCTGAGTGACATGAGGAAAGCTACAACGAATTAGAAATGGTCACATATTCCTCTAGGCAAGTTTTAAGATGCAATAATGTAATCTGGCTACAATAAATTTTAAAATGCTGTCAGATGAAAATAAAATAAGAATATACTAAATAAATGCTATACTTATATTAGTTAATATCTGATATCGTTAGTTTGGATAATCTATATTTTCCTTCATTTCCATTACAAATCAAAAGTTTCTTGGGAACCTTTTCTTAGTAAATACAGAATCAACCATATTATCTCACTATTTTTAAAAACAAATAGTAAAAATAATAAATTGTTTT